GGAAGAATGTCCTTTGATGGGCCATAGAGCTCGCCTGATAATGTGATAGATGGTGCGGTGCAGATACTCTAGGTATTCAACAAAGAATTCCTTGGGATATTCAGCATCCTGTGGCAGTGGCTTCATCATGCTCAGCATTTGGCTCATGTTGGGCTCTGGCTTCTGAAAGATGCTTTCCAACGCATTGCGGTGAAGCTGACAACCAGGTTCATAGAGTTCACCACGAGTGGATAGGCCAGTAAGCTGACAACGCATTCCCTGTTGTGGCCGCGAATGTGAAGGGTTGCATAGAATTGTAGCAGAAGCTCTTCATTCCAATTCTCCTTATCTGTCACAAACTGGAGAAGGCCTGCATCTCGAAAACAGTCAAGGACTTCTTCTAAGTAGGCTAGGCCAGCAATGGCTTTGGAATCCAGACGCATATGAGGAAATATGCACCCTTGATTGTATAGAACACAAGAGTAGTAGCTGCGCTGCTGATAACTCCAGAACCGATCAGATGATATTCTTGGCTTGGAATAAGGGTTCTTGGCTTTATCGAAGAAAGTGTTGTGTGCAATGAAACCATTAACATTGAATGATCCTGGCGCAGATGCAGTACCTGGAAACCTTAGCAGCCTTGGTTTTGACTTCTGAACCTGAGGAATGTGCTCCACATGATAATCAAACTGAGGTCCGGGAGCAGGCGAAGGAACCAGAATTGGCCATTTGACAGTGACCAGCTCGCCTTGATAGAATGCTTGCTCAATAGTGTGTGGCCTTGGTGGCAAAACAGGAGCAGGGGCATTGGCAACAGCGTTAGGCTGCACATTTGTTGCAGGTGCATCATTGGCTTCATGCACAGTGTTCATTGCAGGCGCCACATTATCTTCAGCCATGACAACGTCATTGGCTTCAGTAGTGTTGTTGGTGGCCGCCTCAGGATCTTCAACCTCCACTTGAGTAGCTGGAGGGTCGGGCACAGACACGTTCTCCTCGAGAACAACTTCTTGGTTGGTAGGGGGTGTGGCAACACGTTCTTCTTCTCCTTGTCTTTCATCGGCTGATGTAGTCGGATTGTCTTCAGCAGCATTGGCTTCAGACGTGGGAACCGTCACAGAGGGATTTTCTTTAGGGAACACTTGACGTGCCACTGAGCTGGATTGGTTTGAATCTTCTTCTGTGATGGTTGTCATGGAGACTGATGGCTTTAGGCCTTTGCGAAGCCGTTTGAACACAGGCGACGCTTTTGGTGATGGTGTAGTCTCCATGTAATTATCGTCATTCACCACTGGGCTGATGACTTGCGCTGGTGAAGGACGGGTGGACTGGGTGAGTATTGACTTGGAGTTGCTAGTTGGGGGCGATCAGCCCATGAGGCATCCTGAGAGATTGGCGTCAAAGGACGACCAATGCTGATGAGTTCGTTGTTCATGAGAACAGGCGATGATAGCGTTGGGCACTCGATCTGAGGAAGGACTTCATCATCCACTACATTGTCTTGGGGACCAATGTCTTCAGCCGTGGTGGGGTTAACGGCTGGTACTTCTTCAGCTTTAGGAGCCTTTGTGGAAGCAGGCTCATGAACTATCAACTGATGCTCTTGATGTTCAGATGCAGGACGAGCAAAAGCAATGGGCTCGACAACAAGGGGCTCTTTGGGAGCAGCCCGATCTCTCTTCTTGGTCTTTCTCTTCTTGGTGGGTGGTGCATCCTTAGTGGTGTTCTTGAGTTTGCGCTTTCTGGCTTCGGCTTCCGCTGCCCTGGTTTTCTTCTGTTCTGAAGCCATCGTGGGGACCTTAGGCTTCGAGCCTGTCATACTGGCAGGGAAGACAATGCGAGGTTCCTCCCGCTTTGGTGCTTCAGTTTGGGCCACAGTTGGCTTCTTCTTCTTGGCAGCCATCTTGGGGTCGATGCCAGGACGCCAAAGTGCATTGTGCTTCTCAGCTTCATTATAAGCTTGGACACACTTGGCAGCTAGATTCTTCATGTGCTCTCTTGAACCTTTGGCTTCTTCGCGCTTCTTGCGAAAAGCCTCCTTGAGGTCATGCAACATCACCTTGAAGTTTTGGACATCAGCCACACTGAGCTTGGCCACATGCTTCTTGAACTGCTCTTTCTCATAGTCAATCTTGTTCTTTAGCTCAACAATTCGCTAAGCCAGAGCCAGCTCAGGAGAAATGGCTCCTTGGAAAGAGACGCTGATGCCAATTAGAAGCTGAAGATCATCAAAGCTAAGATTCGGGTTGTCAAACCACTCATCAATGAAATTGTCTAAAATGTTCACATCGAAGAGGGGCAGGTCATTGAAGATCTCCGCCTCTTGCTTGCTCTTCATCAGCTGCTCAAGAGCATCATCACCGCACTCATCGTCTGTTGACAGATCAATTGCTTCAGTCTCATTCCACAGAACGGCAGCAGGTGTCAGGGCTTGACCAGAACTTTGAACATTTTTCTTCTGAGTCTTCTCTTGCTTCTTGGAGATGCAAGAGATATCTTCAGAAGTGTTACTGGGAGCAGGAGGGGCAGTTGCCAATGGCTTCACTTGAGAAGCTTTTGGTGCAACAGTAGGTTTTGAAGCCTTGGATTTATTTTTCTTCTATGGCTTGGGAGGAGGAGCTGGTGCATCATCAGAGTCAGCATCATCACCAGAATGATCCACTTTTGCTCCTTGAACGGCAATGTGAGTGATGAGGCCGTCGAGGTTGTAGAAGGGGCCGACTCTGTTTTCATTGGCCTCACAGGTGCCATCTTCCCGAGGAGCAGATGGACTTGGGTTGAAGTCAAGTCCGAATGCCTTCTTGTTCTTCACAGCAGAGTCTTTTGCGAACTGGTAGTTGTGCTTGAATAGATTGTCTTCGCGACACCACAGTAGAGAAAAGGGGTCAGCATTCTCTGGCTGCGGTCCGCGAACCATGCACGGATAGAAGCCTTGCTCAATAGCTTCAGTCTGGGACCTGGGAGGAAGATTTTTGTATAGTATATATCCCCAGGGCTGCTTAATGGCATTCTTCTCTGCATACTCTTCTGTGACGAATCGGTACTTGAACCATTCCTCTGCCCAATATCTTCGAATCCACTGGATTCGATTCTTGCGTTCACCGTAAGTTTCCTCTGGGTCTATCTTGTACAACTCATGTAGATCTGGTGGCAAATCCTTGGAAGTGTTCCCACGACGCTGTCTGCCACCCTTTCTTGCTGACTTCTCAGTAGCCATGAAGCTTAACTTGAAAGGCTTCAGAACTTGCAAGGGCTTCCGATGGCTGGTCACACAAGAACTGGCTTCAGGAGAATTTATGTGACTCCGTAAGAATTTGTAACATCCCAAATTTTCAATTTGGAATGTTATACATTAGATCATCATTGCATATCATATTTTTTGCATTTTGGCTTGATCCTAGAAATTCTACGCAACTCAAGGACCCACGGAGAGAGTTGGGGATTTTGTTATTTTCATATTTGAGTTTTCTCAAATTTTGAAAATAGGATCATTTGATTTTTATTATTTTATCTTCAAATATTTCAATTATAAAAATACGAGAGAGGGAATAAAATGACTTTCCCAAAATAAAGAAATATTAAGGATTTAATAAAAAAATCAAATAAGATTTTATTTCGGAGTTTTATCGCTATTTTATTTGAATTAGGAAAATGCACGTTTTTCAAAATTGCATTTAGGCCCCAAATAAATGTTCATCTTGTCCGGCTTATTTTTAGAGCACGGGGAAAATTTATTTTGGGATTTCTGGAGTCTGTTTAGTATTTCTTTTATATGTTTTTCTGCACGTCCGATTTATTTAAAAAAACGAACCGAGTCGGGCCGCCGTGGGCGAACCGGACTCCTCTTCACCCGGCCTTCAAAACCCGCCCAAGCCGCCATCCCACCCAGCCCACCCCGCCGCCAACCCTAACCCTAGCCGCCGCCTCGATCCGTACGCCGCCGCCCCTTGCCGCTGCCGCCGGTTCCCACCGCCGCCGTCCGCCGACGCCGACGACCACCGCCACTCACCGGAGCCCGACTGCCCCGCCGGACCCCGCCGCCGGAGCCCCACCGCCCTCGCCGGAGGTAGCCACCCGCGCCGCTGACGGTTTTCTTTAGAAAACCGCCTGTTTTTTTATAAAATCGCGATTTTTTAATAGATCGGTTTAGTTTTACTCGCTTTAGTCTATTTTGCGGACGTTCGTCCATACATTCATTTTAATGAACGGTTTTCATCGTTTAGCCGCAGACAGCGAACGTTCGTTCGTTAGCCTGTTCGTCCGTTTTTCTTTTTCTCGGATTTTCCGCGATTATTTCTGATCGCGATTTCTGATCCGATTTTCGTTCTAGTATAACTTTTCGCTCGTTTATTGGAATCAGGCGATTCAAGCGCCTAGAGTTTCGTCTCGAATCCCTCTTTCCGTTTAACCAACTCAAACAAGTTTTTGCCACCATAAAAATTGACTTAGGTCTAGATTAGTAAATGAAGCTTGTTTCTTTCGCCGTTTGACTTTCGTTGCTTCGTTTGATTTGATTCTTTTTGCAGACCGGAGTTCTTAAGTGGAACTTTCTGGTTAGATATCTTATTTGAGTTTTACCTGTGCATTAGATGAGTCTTATTGTATGCTTGTTTGTCTGCGATAGAGTACCCAGAGTGCGCCGCTTGCTACTTCGAGTCTCTAGGTTTCATGGATCATCAGCAAGGCAAGTAACACTTTGATCATACCTCTTTACTACCCAGTTTTATTGCATTAGATCAATCCTCAAACAATTGCATGATTAGGATCTGATTAATATGTGGGTATTGGGAAGTAGATGAGGTAGTACCTATTACCTGTTTTATTTATCAAACCTTTGGGAGTTACTTCTACGTTTGCTTATGTTACTATGCTATGCTAGTAGACGTGGATTGGGTGAGTATGCCAAAGGCGTGCCATATTTTTATAGAAGGAGAGAAATAATTACATGACATGCGCCACGAATGCGAACAAACATGTAGCACAGATACAAACCAACACCCACACCAGCCTAGGACCCTATACTAACTCCTCACAAATCGTTGGAGTCCTCCTACACCCAACCCGGCTGCCTTCCACTCGGCAACCTCATCTAGCAACATCAACACAAGCTCTGTTGGGGTACATTGTTGCTCTAACCTATTGAAGACCCATGCATTCCGGTGTTTCCATAGCGTCCAGATCATCGCGATGAAAGTGGAGTCAAACCCCCTCCGATCTGCAGAGTGAAAGACCTTCCTTGCCCTAAGCCACCAGTCTAGAATCGTTTCACCAGCCACGTGTCCTGGTACGTTAATCTCGAGAAGGTCCCAGAGCCTGTGCCAAACCTCCCGTGCATAGGTGCAAGCGCCTAGGATATGCTCGGCATTGTCTTCATCTTGTAAGCAGGTGTAGCAAGCAGATGTTTCATCTTGTAAGCCGTGACGTGCCCTCCGATCAGAGGTCCAGATGCGGTGCTGCAGAGCAAGCCAGGCAAAAATTTGCACTTCAGAGGTGCCCAGCTCCTCCAAACGCATGTCGCGAAGGGCGACCTGGTGTGACCCACGCAAAGTCTGGCATAAGTCGATCTGGCAGAGTATGAGCCCGAGTTGGAACAAGGCCAGGTGAACACATCCAAGCTCTCCGCATCCCTAGGTATTGTGCCGATGGCCTGGATAAGATGCATCAGCTGAAGCTGGCCCATGAAAGAAAATCCCATCTGGCAGTCCTCCAACCAGCTGCTGTCGGTGAGAGCCTGCTCAACCGTGCGTTTGTTGATTACTCGAGTCGGCACCATGGCGAACACAAGCGGGGCAATGTGCTTAACTGCAAAACCGTGGATCCAACGATCCCTCCAAAAAAGCACCCGATCGCCTCTCCCCACTTCGATGCCCACCAGACTATCAAAGACCTCACGAGCCTCCAGATCCGTGGTCATGGACAGCCCCTGCCAAGGCCTGTTGGGCTCTGTCCGTCTTAACCATTCCCATCTAACCCTCATAGCTAGCCCTTGTAGCTTGAGGTTCTTCACACCAAGGCCACCATAGCATTTGGGTCGACACACATTACTCCAAGCAATGAGGCATTGGCCTCCGTTCACCTTGTCCTTCCCGGCCCAGAAGAAGGAACGCATCCACTTGTCCATCTCCTCAAACACCCAGTCAGGAGCATCCGTAATCATAAGGTGATGAATTGGCTTGGCAGAGATCACCGATTGCACAAGAATAAGCCGTCCTAGGCGCTAAATAAGCCCTCTCTGCCAGCCCGGCACGAAAAGTTTAAATTTGTCAAGCATGGGTTGCCAGTCACTTTTGGTGAGGCATCTGATGGCGAGCTGCAGCCCCAGGTACCTGCAGGGGAACTCCGTAATGCCACATTGTAGAACTCCGACCACTCTGGCACTGTCCACAGCATCACCATGGATCAAAATAGCCGACGACTTACGATAGTTAACACGCAATCCTGAGGGCTAACTGAATATCTCCAACCCCGCGGTGATGAACTCCAGATCTGTGGTGGTGGGCTTAATGAAGATGGCCACATCGTCCGCGTAAATAGAGATCCGTTGCATTGCCGAGATCCCACGATATGAGCTCACCACTCCAAGCTCCATTGCCTTATAAACCAACGATGTCAGCACATCCATGGCGATGACGAACAAAAGCGGGGAGATCGAGTCGCCCTGGCGCAAACCCTTAGCGTGGTAGAACCTCCGACCTGGCACGCCATTGACAATAACTTTGGTGCTCGCCGAGTGCAGCATAATCGCCAACCATTGCAACCATCTTCTCCCAAACCCTTTAGCTTCCAGGACCTCAAAGAGGAAGGGCCACGATAAGGAATCAAAGGCCCTCGAGATATCCAGCTTGAGGAGCACCCCTGGTGCCCTGCGATCATGAATTTTCCTGGCCACTTGCCTCACAAGGAGGAAGTTATCGTGCAGGTGCCGTCCTTTAATGAATGCCGACTGGTTCATGCCCACGATCTCCGGCATACGTGTCCGAAGCCTGTTAGCGAGAACCTTTGCAAATAGCTTGGGGCGGTGTGGGTAAGACTAATAGGCCGAAAGTCTCCAATCTCCTCTGCCTCTGGCTTCTTAGGAATGAGAACGATATGCGCCTTGTTCAGCTTAGCAAAGCCCCTACCATCCGCAACATAAAGCTTCATCATAACCGCCATAACATCATGCTTGATGATAGGCCAGGCCCGCTGATAGAAAGCGGCAATGAACCCATCCGGCCCCGGTGCACGGTCAGGTGGCATCTCCTTTACAGTCTCCCAAACCTCATGCTCCGTAATCATGGCTTCCAGCTCCTGAAGATCGTGAGGGGCGATCCCCATGAATTGGAGATCCAGGGTGTGCTCCCTAGCTTGGGCCGTACCAAGCAACTGCTAATATGCATGGAAGAAGGCATCCTCCATATTCTCTTGCTCCGCAATGATCTGCTCTCCAACTCTGATACACGAAATATAGTTCTTTGACCTGCGTCCATTGGCCACCGCCTGGAACAATTTAGAGTTTGCGTCACCCTCCTTGAGCCATCTCATTCTCGAGCGCTACCTGTCAATAGTGCGTTCCAGGGCTGCCATGCCAAGCAGAGCTCGTTTCAGCGTGCGGCGCAACCAAATCTCTCTCAGCTCCAGCCTTCTTCGTTCTTGTGCAACATCCAGCTTATGAATCACCCAAGTGGCCACCCGCATTAGGAGTTTGACGTTACCAATCTTGCGCTGACCCCAAGCCTAAAGCGATGCAGCCGCATTCCTCATCAGTGCATCCAGTCTGGCGTACGGATCCACGATCGCGGGGTCGCACACCCAAGCCTCCTGCACCGCCTCCTCAAACCCATCCAACCTAGTCCAAAAAAGCTCAAACCGGAACCTGCGTTTGGGGCAGAATCCCGCACTCGTAGTAAGCAACAGCGGCGCGTGATCAGAGACTCCCGTGGAGAGCGCCTGGAGGAGGTATTCTGCATTTTCCAACTCCCAATCAACGGATATAAGGATCCTGTCAATCTTAGTAAACGTGGGCGTGTCTCGCTCGTTCGACCACGTGAACCTCCTGCCGTGCATGTACATCTCCTTGAGCTCGTGGTCGTCAACAAAATCCCTGAACTTCCCCATCATGGTCCGGTTGACGTTAGAGTTGTTTTTCTCAGAGGCGCGAAGGATCATGTTAAAGTCCCCCAAAATCATCCATGGTCCTTGGCACAACAGCCTCCTAGCCCTCAAATCCTCCAAGAATTGTGTCTTCAGCTCATCACTCTGCGGTCCATACACCACCGAGATCCACCAAGGTTGTCCCTCCCTGGTATGCACCAACCCCAAAATAAAATTGGCATTGGGGACTAAGTTATCCACCCATAGAGCCGAGGTGTTCCACGCGATAAGGATCCCCCCTCTAGTCTCCTCAGCCGGCAGGTAGGAGAAACCATCAAAAGATGGCCCCAAGCATTGCATCACAGTAAACTGATCCATTACATCCATTTTAGTCTCTTGGAGACACACCAAGTTCACCTTAACTGAGTTAATGAACTCCTAACGGCCTTCCTCTTGGCTGGATTGTTGAGGCCACGTACATTCCAGCACAACACCTGTGGGTGTGAATCCATGAAGGATCGACCACCAACACCACCACGGGTCGCTTAGCACGCACACACCACCACCGCGTTCTCCACGTTCATCTCCTGTTCACTGGGCACCGTCTTCCCGAAGAGAGCCGCGGTGGCCCTGACATGCTGCTCACGAAGGGGGGAATCGAACAGCGCCTTCAGCTCCTTTACCACCCCATCATCCACCACAAGGTCATCTAGAACTAGACCCAGAGCATGCAGCAGCACATTCTCAACTGGACTATCCTTGGACCAGCTCGTAGTTGCCATCTTCTTGGATGCATGCGTCGTGCATTTTGGCGTGAACGGCTCCGCCTCCGGTCATAGGTGCGATGCTTGGACTTCACGGAGCAGCGGTGGTGCCAATTTCTTGATAATGTTCGTGCAGAAACTCTTAAGCTTGCCATAAGCCACCACTTTCTGTGCTGTCATGCCCTCTGTTTCCAGTTGGGACGCGCCCACGCACGCAGCGGAATCCCCGGACGCTACGTGCAGTGTCCATGCATGCATGGTTACCATCAATCCTTGGCACGATCGCAAGATCCAATGCAGGTGTAGAATATTCCACCTCCAGCCTCGTAGGAAGAGTCCCACCATCATTGTCCTGAGCCGGGTCCCTCGCAACCGCCTCTGCAGGGCATGCCTGGCGCGTAGCGGCCATCGCCACCTCTCCCCTATCAGCCGAGACAGCGGTACTGTCCCCCTCCAACTCTGGCCCCACCATCACGCGGATCCACCTCGGAGACCCCCCGTTCTGGACGGCATGCGATTGGCCGTCGCAATTAGGCTCCGGCACACCCTGATCGCAGTTCGGCCTAGGGATCTCCCCGCCCTGGGCATCCAGTTGTTGGCCCACACCAACCTAGGCGTCACCCGTCTGTGCCATTGGGTCCTGCACGGCCGGCCCCACCACCATGGAAGCCAGCTGTGGCCTAGGACTAGCCGTTTTCAGGCCAGCCGATTGGTGCAGGCCCTGCTGCGCCTGTAGGCCCCTGGCCCCTGTCTCCATCTCATCGCCCGCCGGAGAAGACCGTTGATCAACTGCCACCACCACAGCTCTATCGTCTGACGAAAGTTCCGCGGGTCCCACCTGATCCTGCCTTGGTGTCTCCAGCCTGGTCAGTCGGTCAAAAGCAGAGGGCCTGACCGCAATCCGATCCCTGACGTGCACCGACTGGCCCACCGGTGCCACCATCGGCAACTCCTCCATGGCCGGCAGCCGCCATGCCGTGCTGGCCGTACTCCAGCCAGGCTCACCCTGTCGACCGTCGCCAGCCCTCTTGGACGGGCCACCACCATGCCCCGCCCGTGCTCCACCTCTGACGTCCCGAGCACCGAACTGCCAGGTCTGCCGGCGAGCCGGAGCGCCACCACCTCCGTCCATGCTACCATCCGAATCTGGCATCCCACTCTGCCCACTGCATGAAGAACCTCCAAGGAACCATGGCTCCTCTGCTTCCGTGAAATCTTGAACTTGCGCCAGATGGATGAGGACCTTGTAATGCAGCAACGCCGGCTGGGAGGGCTGCAGACCCAGGCCAGGCTCCGGCACCGCCAACCATCGGAGCATAGGGATGGTTTCCGGGTCCGCCGTCCACACCGTAAGCTTGAAGGATGAGAGTTTAGCCCGGGAGCTCGTCTCCGGCGCCACCACATCGACCACGCAGGATGATCCCAGCAGACGCTCCACCACCTCCCGCTCCCAAGCATGGGAAGGAACGCCCTCGATCTCGAGCGACACCTTGCTCCGGAGCACCGCGTGAACTGCCTGAGCCTGCCGGTTCCACTGACGGAAGAACATCCTAACACCACGATGATCCATAGACGACATGGTGCACACCCAGTTCTTATGCTCGGGCCGTGCGAAGACGATGAGGAAATCCTCAGGCCGGAAGCGATGTACCGACACCCACTGTGGCTCAATGCCCGCCTTGGCCTGCAGGACCTCCAACACGAACTCCGGCGAGATATCCTGCCGCGCGCCAGCCGCGTACGCCACCATGGACAGCTGCAGACGCTGCTCCATGTCCTCCATGGACTGGGAACAGTGCACCATGCACAGATCAGCAGGATCGAACTCCGACTCCAGGGGAAGGACCAGCCTCGGCGCCGGGAGGCGAGGCCAGGTCAACGGGGCAGAGGACGGCGGGGAGGGCGACGGAGGCGGCGGCGGAGCGGGGAACCCCGCGCCATGCCCCGCGGGAAGGCCTCCGGGCTGCCCACGGGAGCCCCTGCCAGCAGGCGCAACACAGCCACCCTGGCGTGACACCTTGGCCACGACCCTCCGCCTCAACTCCTCCGGCGGCGTCGGACTGCGGGGGCGCTTGCAGTCCCTGGAGCCGTGGCCAGACAGACCACATCTGAAGCACACGATGTCGTTGGTGCAGTCCTTCCGGAAGTGCCCATCCTGGAAGCAGCGGAAGCACAGCCCTACCATCTCCGGCAACACCTCACGCGGGGGGGAAGAATGAGGCAGGGCCTACGGCGGAGGCGCGGAAGGGTCATGGCGTCAACGCCACAAGGCGCGCCTGGACGGGCGAGGATGCACCCAGGGCACCTCCCCAGCCCGCGGCAAGGACGAGGCCTCCGCCCCCACCAGGGCGGCCGACGACTCCGAGCAGGATGAGAGACCAAGACCGGACACCACGGGACGCTCCCCGCGGGGCGCGCGGTCGCGGAGTGCGCAAGCGGACTGCCGTCCATGGTGGGGAGGGCGGAACGGGGTCGGCCCAGCCGAGGCGAGCGCCGGGAGAGGGAGGGTGGCTGGCGCGGCCGGAGTGGCAAGCGCCAGGAGAGGGTGGACGCCGGTGTCGGAGTGACGCACGGCGGGCTCAAGCGCAGCGGCGGGAGCGGCGGGGAGCGGCGGGGCTAAGGACGGAACAGAATTCCACTGCTTCTGTTTCAGAGAGGGCCGGTAATGTTAATTTCTTCACAATAGTTACTATATGTAAGTTAACTCTCCATGACAGATGTGAGATTGTTATTTAATGGTTTACTTAAGGTGGCAACTTAAATTCACATCTGGGTGGACTGAGGCACCTGGGGAACCAATGTTGCCTGTATTTTTGGAAATCCCGGGGTACAGTGTGATTCTCCTATGGGCCGCCACCCAGGCTCAAAGGGATCATGAGATTATTCATGCTAGAAACTTCCGTGTGTAGCTGCAAGCTACTATGGGCTCTAGCATAGTTGAGTATGTTGTGTGACCTCTTTCAGTGGTAGACTAGCAGATGTAGGGGATGTAGGTTGGTACTGTCTACCCAGAGTAAAGAGTTAATGCTTCTGAAAGACTATGTCTCGGTCATCCGTTTCTCAAACACCTTGTAGTGTGAGAAATCCAATGAAGGTGATCGAGTCTTGCAGGGAAAAGTGCGCAAACCTCTGCAGAGTGTATAAACTAATCATGGTTAGCCGTGTCCCCGGTTATGGACGTTTTGAGTATCTAGTATTGGGATTTTTATGTGAATCTCACCATGTTACTTAATTAAATTTTGTTGGGTTAATGATGATGCTTAATTGGGATTGAGTTGGAGGAACCTTCTCAATGTTTAACAACCACCATGATAGTTAAATAAAATTTATTCCTTTGTTGTAGGCAAAAAATTGGCTTTATGCAAAACTGTAACCATATATAGAGCTTTCCACCAGCCATATATATATGCATGTAGTGATAGCATTATTCTGTTCATTACTCTCTATGTGTTACATTGCTAGCATATTCCATGTGCTGACCCGTTTTGGGGCTGCAGCGTTCATGTTGCAGACTTTTCAGACGACGAGTAAGGTGCCTTAGGTCATGATCTTATACTCAGTGATGCCGTTGGAGTTGATGGACTCGCTTTATCTTCCAAGCCTTCTGCTGTTATCATTATTAGATGGCCTTAAGCCATATTTATTGTAATAAGTTCTCTCTTAAGACATTCGATGTAATAGGTGTGTGATTGCTACTCTGTTATAAATCCTTCAAGTACTGTGCGTGTCAGCATTACCGATCCAGGGATGACACTGATGCACAGAGATCAGACTGTTTGAGGTTTGGTCGCTACAAGATGGTATCAGAGCACACGCTGACTATAGGACACGACCACTAAGCTAAAGCCCTAGATCACTACTCTCTCTTCTCATTTCTGACTCCTCATCTTTTCTACTCTTTTAGGATGGAGGATGCAAGGAACAAGTTCACGCAACCGGATGAAGATACACCCTTTGGACGCCACTTGAAGGAAGTCACTAGATACCTAAACATCGGAGTACCAAGCTTCACCGGGACCTACATTGCCACTTTACCAGAAGAGGAGCATTGTATGATTCAAGTTCAAATTCTAGGAAGGACATTCATGCCCTTCACTGAGCCCATAGAGTTTTCTTTTGATGCACCAATCTGGAGTCTAGGAAAGAGCATGGCAGCCCACATCACAATGAGACGCATTGGAGAAGTTTACCACAAGGATCTCAAGGATACTATTTACCAGATTTGTGGGCGCCGAGATGAGCAATGGGAGATGATCAGCACCAGGAAGGATAGAACAATTGCAGCTTTCATCCAGGAGTTAAACCAGCACATTCGTCGCCAGGAGAACCAGATGTCCGCAGGCATGATAGATCTGAAGAAGGCTATGACCAAGATCACAGAGATGGAGGAAGAACTTAAGTCTACATGCGATGGTTATGAGGAAGAAATGACGATACTCGTGGAGAAGAATGATGATCTGAAGAAGAAGCTAAAAGTGTTCATGGGATTCCCCGCGACTGGAGGAGAAGACAAAGATTGCACTTGCCCGGAGAACTACATCATCATCGACGACACCGACTCGGACCCAGACGATAGTGATGATGACTTTGTTGATGAAGCTAGAGCAGATATCATGGAGTCTTCGACCGATCAATTTTTCTAGTCGACCACCATAACAATAGTAGTATTCCCCCATGTATATAGTATAGTCCGAGCACTTTAGTAACGATAGTTAGACCGTTGTATGCCCTTGTTTGAATTGATTGAAGTGATATTGTTTGCATTTGTCTCATATGCATATGGGTAGTGTTTTTCTCTCTAGACCCCACTCTATTCTATATTCTCATCTTTTCTAAACCCTCAGATACCTCCGAGACGTGACAATGGATTTGCTTTCCCACCGGAGCTCACTCAGTTGATCCAGCAGCAGAATGCATTGATGCAGATGCTAGTACAGAATCAGAATCAGGGGAACAACAACAAAAAAAACAACCTACCACCACCACCTGTTGATCACTTAGCCCGTTTCTTAAGGCTGAATCCACTGGTGTTCTCCAGTAGCACCGAGCCGATAGTTGCAGATGATTGGCTCCGCAAGATGGGAAGGGAGTTGACCACTGCAGGATGCACAGATGCGGAGAAGGTGCATTTTGCCGCACATCAGCTTGATGGACCCGCAGCATCATGGTGGGAGAATTTTACAGCCACTTATCCTATCGACACTATCACATGGGATCAGTTTCAGCAGGCTTTCCGTACTGCCCATGTTTCAGCAGGAGCTATGGCCATGAAGAAGCATGAGTTTTGCAACTTACACCAAGGTGGACGTACCGTTGGCCAGTATGTGGATGACTTTAGTAAGCTAGCACGTTATGCCCTAGATGACGTTGCTACGGATGCAACTAAGCAGGAGGAGTTTCTGGAAGGAC